GCCCCTCATCCCCACCCACATCCACCCCTGACGCTGTCTACCTGTGCTGCCCCTGAGCCCCACTTGGTAACCTTCCTTTTGGTCTACAGCAACCTCAGCCTTACCAGAACCCACAGATAACGAGCACTAATCCCTAACTTCTTCAGGGGGCGTTTCAAACACAGCCTTCTCCATTGGAGGAAGGGCCCGGCACACCTCTGCAGGAGCTTGGTGCTCTCCGCCCTGCCTTCTCCTCGGGTTCGAGGAGGTCTCTCCTAGACCTCAGCTAAGTCTGCCTGTACGGACACAAGGTGTTTTGGAAAATGAGGCCACAGAGGTTGAGGGCTACAGCTAAAGCTGCTGCACTGCATGGTGTCCCAAGGCACTGAGCCCCTGTAAGAGGTACTGAGGTGACAGTCACGGCATGGAACCTTGAGCAGGAGTCAGGGTCCACATTCAGGGCGCTTTGGGACACGTCCTGAAGCTGAGGGGGCAGGACCGTTGCCGTCCAGGCTGGGAGAACCATACGCTGTCATTATGCATGGCTGCTGCCAAGCTACTGGGTGTCCTATTTCCCGAAGATGCTGGGGAGCCAGCGCACTGGACTGTCAGTGAGGAGGTGACTCGTCGGCCTGCTCTGTGGGCCCTGTCTCAGCCCATGGCTCAGCACTGACTGGATGGTTTCTCTCTGCCCATCATGCCCGTGACATCAGAGACTCCTCTCCCTCCCCGCGCTCCATCTCGTTTGTGAAAAGTCCACGGTCTGACTTGGGCCCATGTAGATCTGGTCCTGGTGGTGTCAACCTCGTCGTTCTGTCCCTAGGCTGCTTGCAGGGAGGTGGGGGGCCTGACCTGGCGACAAACGACCAGGAGGGGGCAGCAGAGGCTCTGGGAGCGGCCAGGATTGACGGGCCGCCTGGAACGCTGGGAGAGCTGAGGGTCTTAACCTTTAGCGCTGAGCAGGCCCACCTGGAATCCTGTCAGGGCTGTGGGTTCCCAGCGCCCCCCATTTCAAATCAAGGAGTTCTTAGCTCGCTCTCCCCTCTCCCCCACCGTTTCTTCCTCACCTAGCAGAGGTGTACCCCCATGCTGGGCTCTGAGTTCATTTGAAGGGGATGAGAGAGTTAGGAGATTCTAGGGGTGGCTTTCTGTGAGAGGCGAGACCCAGACCCAAGGTGACAATTCCGTCTTGGGGAAGGGCAGGAGGTCCGGGTGGGTATAGAAAGCGAAGTTCAGGAGTTCTAACAGCGTGTTCATCAGAAACTGAGCAAGGGGGGAACTTAAAACAAATGGATTCTTGTGCCTCTGTGGCACTGCTGCACACAAACACAAACCCGTTGTATCTCTGTGTGTGGGTGTGCCTTGAGAGGGCGGATAAGGCCAATGCGCCCTTTACAGCACCGCCTCGTTAACCAACTACCGTCCCACCCCCAAATCACCGAGAACAGCATTATTAGAGATGATGAAACCAAGGGTCAGAGGTGACTCCAGCTGCCCAGGTCAGCTGGTGGCACTGGGGGTCTTTAACAGCATCTGAGACTGAGCTTTCTGCATGGGGGAGACAAGCCTCAAGCACTCCCACCCCCCTACCCCCCACTCAAGCCCCAAAGACAGAAGAAAACAGTGGGATGGGACAGGAACCCTGGCGCCAGAACCCTACACTCAGGGCACCTTCCTGCCACCGGCGCTCTGGCAAGCTCCTGGGGCGCCCAGGGCGACTGTCCTCGGGATGTGACTTAGACACACAGAAACACTGTGTATACATCCGCGCACAACCCCTTTCGAAGGCCGTTTAGGACTGGGGAATTACCTACACTCAGCAAACGGAGAATTGTTCCGCAAGATCACGCCGCCCGCGCACGCTAAGGTCCGGACTGCACGAGAACGCCTTTACGTTAAAGTTCAAGCTTGTAAATCGCACATGCCAAGCACGCTTGCGCCGAAAAACCCTGCGCTGGGCGCTTCACGCGCAGCCCGTATGCAAGTCCAGGCCGAACGCGCGGCGGGGAAGCCACAACCCAATTGCGCGCTGCTTTCGCGCAGTAATGACGGGAGATCTTAGGCGCGAGTGCCGGAGGCGATTTCGCCTACAAGCTCTGACCCTTTCTGGCTTGCTTGGCGCCAGGTTCTTCCCGTGTCCTCAGGTCTCAGGTTAGGCCCCAAGATACAAGCTAGGCCCGCCCAGGGGCCAGTTTTACTGCACAGGTCTCGGGAACGTGGGCGCTCTGGGAGATCCCGTTGACACAAAGGCGCAGCTGGGGAAATGAACCGAACGCGGGACTCAGGCCCCGCGATGCCAAAAGTCACGCGCGAATCAGGGCGCACGGAAGCCTCCGACCCGCCTTGGGGCCAACCCGGTGCGCGTGGGGGCTCTAGGGGACTGGAGGAGGCTGGAGGGAGCCGTCTGGCCGGAGTTGGGTTTCTCCTAATCAGCACCACTTCCCGGAGCCGTCGTCTTCCTAATTGGGGAACAATCTCCGCCAAAGAGAAGGGGGCCCCCACCTCCATCTCTCCCGACTCGAGCTGAGCGTTCCTCTCAAGGAGGACCCACCCGGAGGCTGTTTCTTTCAGGGCAGTGGGCTGGGAGGTGGTGTGCGGAGAGGCGGCCGCCCAGCGGAGCCGTGGCCTCCGCTGGCTCCGAACCCGCTCTCGGAGCGCAGGCCTGGCGCGAGGCAACGCGCTGGGCCCGAGAGACAGGCCGGAGTCCCCAGGCCGAAATTTTCCTTTCCGCTTTATCTCGGTTTTATAGAAAGTTTTCGTTTGGGACATTAATTGCCCAGGGGAGTTTATTGATAATTTTGATGTAACAGAGCTCCGGAGAAATTACCCCCACGTCCAAAATGTCAAGTTTGAGAAAAGCCAGGTTCAGGGGCTCACGACCCCACGACGCGGAAAAAACTGCGGTTGGTCTCCAACAGCCGCACCAACAATGTGACTTTATAGTGTTTGTTTTCCTAGATAGCGGGAATCGGAATCGAAAGGGGGTGGTCGGAAGGCACGGGATTTATTACGATTTACAGAGATATGGTACCAAATTGGAAAAATGCGGGTCAGCATACTCTACAGGCCCTTTTTAGGTCAAATTTTACTAGTTTCTCGGTTGGGCATAAAACAAACTTACATTACTTCATGGTTTACAACAAAATTTAGGGAGAACAAAGCTCAAAACTCAAAATAAAACTTCAAGGGGCCATTAGTTTAGGGGTGACAACCAAACATTTTCTAATAATGTGTATGTGTGTATGTGTGTGTAGGTATTTTGAAATACAGATAACTTGCTTGGTTTTCCTGGGGGAAGGAGGATTACACGTTTTCCTTAAACGGTCGATTATTTCTTTAAAACTAGAAATGACATTTAGAGGGGGCAGAGGGCTCTTCTTAAAAAACAGAAGCCAAGAAAAATAGTTTACTCTTGTCAGGATTTCATTTTAGTGTGAAATAAAGAGTACAAGGAGGGAGATTTGCCCACATGTATTTTGAAAGAAAAGGAAAAAAAAAAAAAATTCACACATCACCCAGGTTTTAAACATACACACACTTTTTTTTTTTAAATGATCCGGAGACTCTTTCTTTCTCCAGTTTAGGGTTTGGAAACTATTCTGCAATCCCATCCCAATCAAATACTCTTTTATTTCAAGTTAATATAATTTTCAAGACCATGTACAAATGTTATACATTTTTATTTTTGTTTTTTTTTTTTAGGAAAAAAATACACAAAAGGCAAAACATCTTCCAATGATGGTTTCATACAGTGCAGAAGAAATTTAAAATATGTGTCACAAATGCTGCACCCCAGCAGCCAGGATACTAAAAAGGAGGGAATAGTCCTTCATTATATATATATTTATATAAAACATATGGAAATTTGTTTTTACACAGATTGGGTTGTTTTTTTTGTTTTTTGTTTTTTTTTTTTCAAATTTACAATGGCTATCTAAAAAAAAAAAAAAAAAAAAATTCTACACGGCAAATATTGCCAACAAAGTTACACCATTAATACTGATAAACGGAGGAGCCTATGCGGTGTTTCGATTATTGGGGAAGAAAGTAGAATAAATAACAGGATGAAACTTGCTATATTTTTAAAAGTGCCTTAACCGTTCTGCGTCACCGCAATCCTGAATCCACGCGCGGCCACCGGGCCGTGCCTTTCCAGTCCCCATGTCGTACAACGTCTTCGCCTCGCCTCATTCTCGGACTAGAAAGTTTACAGTAGAGACGGGGAGACAGCGGAGGGGGGTGGGGGGGAGAGCCACAGAAAAACTCAGAAGAAACTTGAAAACACCAGAAGATCTGCAGGAGAGCGGGAAGAACGCGGGAGAGACGCTTTTTCTTGGATCCTTTTCTTTCCTTTCTTTTAATTTTAATTTTTAAGACGAACAGTGGCTTCAGAGATGCAAGATGTTCCACCTGTGTTTGGTTGATCGTAGAAGACATCGGAGGTGGGGAGGGAGGACGCGCCATCTCGCTAAGCCTCCTCCCCGCAAAAGGCGGCTCTCTAAACGGAGACAGGCAGGCGCACTCCCAGACCCGGACATTCTTCGAGAAAAAAAAATAATAAAATAAAAGATAAATACTTAACCAAAAAATAAAGGTATTTGATAATGATTGGTCTCACATGTTTGCTTTCTTCCAAAATTCCTCCGGAGTTTGGCCACTGGAGGGGGAGGGAGAGACCTCAGCAGAATTCTCGGTTAGATTTAGAGGGGGTTTCCCCCAACACAGCACCTTCTCAGCCGGACTCAAGAGGATCAAAAATAGATACTGTTTACCGACAGCTGCAGTTAGGGCAGACTTCTACCGCCACCCGTTCTGTTCCTAATTTGTGTGTGAGTGGGGAGGGTGTGCCGCCGTCGCCGCAGCCGGGGTCTTGGTGGAGAAGCTTCCTTTCCAAATAATCCGCTTGGGGAGGTGTCTGACCCTTTCTTCTGCCGACGGTTATACCTCGAGATTAAAAGCAGTTTCCCGCCATGGGCTCCGAAGTCACTGCGCCGGGAGGACGCGCCGAGAGCGGAGCAGCCTCACATCACGCACGGCTTGATGTCTTGGTAGGTGACCTGTTGGTAGTAGGAGCCGCCGCCCGCCGAGTGCATCGAGGATGAAGCCATGGCGTTGAAGGAGAAGACGAACTCCTTTCGGTCACACATGCTTGGAGACTGCGAGTGGTAGCGCGGAATGCCTGCGGGCAAGCGACAGGGGTGGGGACACAGAAGTTAGCGGGGCGCGCACCGCCGGCCGGCCCAATCCCACGCACAGTGCTTCTCACGCTCGGCGTCCAGCGGAAGACCTGGCCTTGGCCTCCGTGCACGGGGTTGCTACCTTGAGAGGGGTACAGTTATGAGGGTGGGCGCTCTGGCAAGCAAATGTCAAGGAGGGCCCCGAGGGCGTCACTCTCTAGGGCAGTCCGGGGTCCCCAGGGCTGTGGACACCCCAGTACCAGTGAGGTCGGATCGGAGCCGAAACGGGCCAAGCAACCGGCTGCGGTACAGGACAGCTTCTCCAGAGGAACGTCTCAGGGAGAGGAAGGGTTCCTAGAGATGAAGGCCCCATGGACAGCAGGCTCCTGGCCCGCCGCTGATAGCTAACCCTGACAGGCCTCTCTGCTCAGCTCCCTGCTGGCTCTCCCCAGCACTGGGCCCAGAAGATTGCGGTTGGGTGCCCCAGTGGTTTCTCTTTCTCTTCCATCTGAGAGATGGGACCAGGGGTCCTGACAACCTGCATTCTGAGAAACAAAGGCTGCCGGCTTGGCCCTGAGACCCTGCCTGGGTCACTACAAAATGTCCTGTAGACGCCACTGTCCGAAGTCAGGCCTGGCCCTCGGAAAGGCGGGGCACTGAGCCTTCTTGTTGCCAGCCGCGGCCTAGGGCCTAACTTTTCCGCTTGGCCCAGGCTCCATCACAGCCTGAGGGTGCGGGCACCACAGCCAGTTAGGGCTAGGGCCCCTTCTAGAGCTTCAAGAGGTCCTAAGTGACCCATAAGGCCTTGGAACAGTGAAGTTGGGCCTTCTCAGTGAGGACGGGCCTACTGAGGAGGGTTGGGACTGCTGGCAATGAGCAGCTTCGGTGGGAAAAAGGGAAACATTGAAATCCCGGCCCAAATCAGGCTGCAAACTGCTCAGCTCCAAAGGCAGAGGGTGGCGGGGCTGCCTGGGGCGGGAGGAGGGGGGCTGATGTTGGGCCCAGAGGGATGGGACACAGAAGTGGTCTCGGCTCAGGCCCTAGGCGCCAGGGATTTGCCTAGTTGTCATAAAGCGCTCAAAAATGCTGGGACTAGCCAGTCCCTCCACTCACCTTGCAGCTCAGCCGGGCCGTTGTGGCTGTTCTGGTGCAGGTAGGGTTGCTCCAGGGAATGTGTGGAGAGACTGCCGGACAGAGGGTTGGCCGAGGGGTTGCAGGGGGACAGAGGCTGTTGCTTGATGTAGGAAGCACCGCTGTTGAGGGCGGCAGAGGCCGAGGGCGGCCAGGCGGCTGCGGAGCCTGAGTAGACGGCATGAGGCTCCATGACGCCTCCGGCAGCGCCCGACAGCAGCGGGGAGGCAGGCACGGAGCCGTCGTGGTGTGGGTACTCGCCCGTCGCCGCCCCACCGCAGCTGCCCATGTACGAGTGGCCGCCGTTGTTGGGCAAGTGGGGCACTGAGTGGCTGGGCAAGGCCATGCCGTCCACGTTGCCCGGCAAGTGGCCGTTCATCATGCCCAGGCCGCCCTCGAGCGCCAGGCTGTTGGGCGGACACGAGAGACCGCCTGCCGAGCCCTGGAAGCCATAGGTGTCCGGGAGGTGGTTGAACCCGAGCCCGTTCATCATGCTGTACATGGGTTTGAGCGCCTGGCATTTCCTTCGGAAGCCGCGCGGCCGCCGCCGAAACGAGCCCTCCTCGAACATGAACTCGCTGGCCGGGTCGATGGTCCAGTAGTGACCCTTGCCGGGCCGCCCGAGGCCCTTGGGCAGCTTGATGAAGCACTCGTTGAGCGAAAGGTTGTGACGCACCGAGTTCTTCCAGCCCTGGTAGGATCCGCGGAAGAAGGGAAAACGACTCTGCAGAAACTGGTAGATCTCGCTGAGCGTCAGGCGCTTGGTGGGAGAGCTCTGGATGGCCATGACGATGAGAGCGATGTACGAGTAGGGCGGCTTCTCAGGGCGCCGGATGCCGGCGTTGCTCTTCTTGGCCTTGGAGGGGCCGGACGACGCGGGGTCCATGGCCGAACCGCCTCCCCCGCCGCCGCCGCCGCCGCCGCCGCCGTGCGGTGGCTGCTGCTTCTCCGGCGCGGAAGACATCGGGTGGCTGCTGCCGCCGCCGACGCTGCCGCCGCTGCTCTGCGCCGCCGGCCAGCCGGGAGGAGGAGGAGGAGGAAGAGGCGGAGGGGGGAGGGGGCTGCGCGCGAGGGGCCGGCTGCACCTCTGCCGTCATCGGCGGCCACTTCTCCCGAGCGAGCTTCGGAGCGCCCTCCCCCGCCCGCCCTCCCTGAGGAGCGGCCGGAGTGGCCTGCGGTTGGCGCAGAGCCCCCCTCTCCAACTCCTCCTCCCACCCTCTCTCCTCCCTCTTTCTCTCCCTCCCTCCCACCGGGGAAGGAGTATAGCAGAGACTGAAGGCAGCCTCTCTGAAGCCCTGGAAGAGGCCGCGAGGAAGCCCCCCTCCACCCCCCGAGTCTTTGGGGGCGGCCCGGCCCCCTGGACCTCTGGCCGTGCGCCTTTGCCCGCGGCGCTCCGTTCCACGACACGAGCCCAGGCCTTCTGCCCTGTAGCTCCGATCGGCTGTATCTCGAGGGAGGCTTAAGACCCTCCAGGAGGTCCCTCCCTCCCTGGCCTCCTTCTACCCCGGCACAGACTGCTGCTTAAAGGGCCCCTAACCCGCGCCGCCCCGCGCCGCGCCGCCCCACGCAGCTAGCGGATCCCGCCCCACCTCCACCAACCTGGTGAGCAAGTGTTAAGACACCCGGAGCCGGTAGTTCAACTCTCCTGCCCGCAGGGCCCCGCTTTTCTGGCCCAGGAGGCCCAGCGGGAGACGCGCCCGGGGCCCCAGGCCTTCCCCGAAGCGCACGAGTCCTTGGACACTCGTTGCGACGAAAGTCTCCAGCTCGCGCCCATCGCGGCCACAGCGGGCTGGGTTCCGGGGTCCCGCGAAAGTCCCCGAGAGGGCCCGCCTACCACTCTCCCCTCCCGGAGAAAGATTGTGCCGCGCCCGGACTAAGTCGACTCGCCCAGCAGCGCTCGCGCGGGCGGGCAGCAGCCAAGCCGAGCGCGGGCGGAAAACGAAAGCGCAGGGCGGGTCGTTGCAGCTTTGTCTCCGGCGCCGGGGGGCCGGCCCGGCGTGAGAGAGGACTGTTGGCCCGACAGGGGCCCAGTCGCTCAGGCACCCTGGCGCGCGCGCACACATAGCACTGCATTCTTGCACGCACTTAGCACACGCGCATGCACAGATGCACACGAAAACCCAGTAAACAACGCAGATTCAGGTATACAATCCCACTGTGAGTGTGTACCCACTCAACTACACAGTGCCCTGGCATGTGCGCACCCATGAACGTGCGCGTCACGCACACAGAATAGGCCCTATTCAGTTTACACTCGCACCCACTGCTGCTCACGCGTGCACATGCCACGATCCAATCTCAGCTCACTCATGACCCCGTGTTCCCTGCCACACCCACCCACATACTAAAAAGCCGTATTTTGGGCCCCCGCGGACCCAACTTCCCCGTCCCCCACTTTCCAAAAGCAGTTTCCCATTTCCCCCAGAGATGCAAACGCCAAGGCCGGATGTTTACAAGGCTCAATGTAAACAGGTCCTGGGGATTCTTTAATAATAATAATAGAGTTCCGCGTGGGCGGGGGGAGTTGGCCTAACGCCCCTGTGGGCTCGGCCTGCTGCCTCTGGGCCTCTGACAACGCGCGCCAGCCAGGTTCTGGAAAGCAGGCGGGAGGGAAATGTGGGCCCGGGCGGCTCTGGCGCGCTTGGCCGCCCGCCCGCCCGCAGGGGGCTTGCACGCATGTCTTCCTTTGCCAGATCCGCATCGCGGGGTTTCGGGCTGGGCTGGGGAGTGGGTGGCGCCAAGCCCAGCGCGCCGGACAGCGAAGGAGCCTGGGCGCAACGCGGTACGCACGGACTAGGGTGAGTGTATTTCGCGCAGACAGGGCGAGTGCCCAAGGTCTCTGGCCAGAATCGGAGTCGGGAGGAAGGGGAGTTGTTTTCGTTGGTCAGCGCAAGCTGGGACGAAAGGCGAGTTCCTGACACACTGAAAGATCCGCGGCGCTTTTCAAAGCTTGCTGGCTTGGCGGGTTTGTCCGCCTCGCCCTCCTTGCCCGGACGCCTTGAACCTCGGTGGGAGACTCCTTGTCGCCTTCAGGGCGCCTGGCGCGCCCATGAGAGGAACAGGGGTTTCGTAGGCGGCGTAACCCGCCCGCCATCGCCGCCTCCACTCTTGGAGCGCTGGCGGGCGAGTTACCTTTCTGGTGCTCCGCCTTTGCCTGGCTCTCCGGGGTCTCTGCTCCGCAGACAGCCCGGTGGCCTGGGAAACGGTGAGTGTGGGCCGTGGTTGCGGACTGTGGGTGTACGTTCACGATGCGTCTCACTTACACGGTACACTCAGCGTGTACGCCCGCGGACGCGGCAGCACTCACGCCTTCCCACGCACCCCTCACTCGTTTAGGTGGGGCAACCCTGCACGGATGCGCAGGCTGGCCACTCACCAGACATTTCCTGTGGCACACACACTGCGCGTTCACGCACGTATAGCCAACTGCACACGCGTGCACACGTCCACTTGCATTCTCATCTTTGCATTTTCCTCCACTTTTTTTTTTTTTCCCCTGGGCAAACAGTTGCTGTAGGGAGGAGGCCTCTGAGCCGGGAGGGACGCTCGGGGAAGGGGTCGCTACCGCCAGCTGCCAGAGCACATCTGGCCTTTAGAAGAGAGGAGCATGGCAGCCACCGCTCCCCAGCCAGCAGGGGTACAGCATGCACCCCGAGGCAGCTCCCCCTTTGTCTTGCTATTTATCTCCCCCATTGATAGGGTGCCTCCAAAGTGAGGGGGCCTATGGAACAGTGTTAGAGACCCTTCCCCTTAGGTACTCTCCAGTTTCCGGGAGGGCAGCTGAGCTGGCTTGATTTTCCCTCCCTTTAACTGCAAAGCAAGGTCGGTGGTTCAAACTCACCAGCCACTCCTCAGGAACCCTATACAGGGTCGCTATGAGTTGGGACTGACCTGAAAGGCACTTAACAACAACCATCTTGCATGGAGTCCTGGTGTGGCCAGTAGGATAAGCACAGGATCTCAAAGTTGGTGGTTCAAACTCACTAACCGCTCCTCCTCGGTTACTATGAGTCCAACCGACTTGATGGGAACATTAAACAGCAACCATCTTGCATGTCACTGTCTCTCAGCCGTTCCTTTTGGGGGGTTCAGCTTGGTTGTGTTATGGAGTGGGGGGGGGCTTCCTGGGGAGGCAGTGCTCAGTCAGGGCTCCACCTGGCCTCACTTACCTCTTAGAGAAGGGCGACATCAAGATGTCAGGGGAAAGGGACCCAGCACTGTGGGAATTTTACGAATGTACAACAACCAAGACTCTCCCAAACCTCTCATCTCCACTGGGGCCAGAGGTGAAGGGTGTCAGAGGGAGAAGAGTGGGCTGCCTACTCTGTAATTTGTAGGGACCCTTCCCTCAATTCTGGGAAAGCCACAACCAGGACAAAGAGTGTGTTCCTGGTACCTAGAAACTGGTGCTGGCCTCTTCAAATGCCCATAGGTCCTGCCTGGTGCTGCATTTTGAGCGGGGAAACTGAGGGTCCATGAGGCAGTGGCCAGGGCCAGCTGTGTCTGCATTTATTTTCCCCTTCCCCAAGAGCCAAGTAAAGTTTGATTTCCTGGGTGCCTCTTTATAGGGTTGAAATGGAAGAGTAGGGAATGAGGATGAGGAAGCATTAAGAACCATCTGCTCTCTGTAGTGGGAATGGCCATTCTTGGAATGATTCGCCCCTTTGATAAACTGGTAAGAACCACAATCCTCCCCCTTCCCCATAGGAGACCAAACCTGCCATATTTGTGGTGTGGGCTTTCAGGCTTCACCAAACCCATGAACCAGAATCCCAGTTCAAGGGCCCATGGATGCTTGTTCTATCTTCCCAGAAGCCCTCCCTTTACAGAGATGACCAGCCAGGTCTGCAGCGGGCAGGGCAGAGACCCTCTTCCATCCTGTGGTGTCACTTCATCTCCGTGTGTCTTGTCTTAACTTCTTCACCTCAAAAATGAGTCTAATGCTGTTCCCTGTTTCCTGTGGTAGTTAGAGGTTTGAACAGGAATGTGCTCCTGGAGACCTGGCCTGAGAGGGTAACCAGAACAACCCCAGGAGCCTGGGTGGGGAAAGGCAGACGGGACAGTGAAGGCAAGGTCTCAGGCAGAGTTTTGTCCTTGCTTAGTGTTGTTGTTAAGTGCTGTCAAGTCGATTCCGACCCATAGTGACCCTGTCTAGGGTTTCCAAGGAGGTCCTGGTGAGCTTGAACCAACGACCTTGCAGTTCAAATGACTTTGCAGTCTGACACATTAGCCCACAGTGCCCTAAAGACCCTTAAAGATACATCTCTTCATCCTAAGTCAAACCCATGCCCCCTCCAGCACCAGGAATCCCCAAATTTGGTGGTGGGGGGGGGTGTAAAAACAGACACGCCAGCGACGTCTCCAACTCCCCGGGCTCCAGGTATTTTTACTGGTTAATTGCTTAAGTGAAGCTGCCCGGGCCTTGAGCCGCCCGTAACCTGAGCAGGGAACCAGACCCCGCTCGGATTGTTCCCGGCCGGCGCTCTGGGCAGGGTGTGTGTGTGTGTGTGTGTGTGTGTGTGTGTGTGCTTCGACCACCCACCTCGAGGGGCAGCCTCCCAGCAGCCTCCACTGGCCTCATGGTCATGCTGGGGTCTGCCCCCTGCCCCCCACGCAACCCCCAGTGAAGTGATATCCAAACAGTGACATGAGTTAGCACAGCCTGGGCCCCAGACTCCTGAGGTGGGCACTGGGCGATGTGCAAACTAAAGGGATCCAAGGATGGGGGAATGAGGGGGGATGGAACCGCTGCTGGAGGGACGAGGCCGAGATCGCTGCGGGTAGGGATTGAGGATTGTGGCAAGAAAGGGAGTTTGGAGGGGAGACGACATGCCTCTGGGTGCGTTATAAGGTGTGTGGGCAAGACACACGTGTGTACTTGGATCCGCGTGCGTGCAGTGTTGCTCAGAGGGGCCTGGCGCTGGACTAGGGGGAGACCACAGAGTGTGTCACACACAGAACTGTGCAAGGAACAGCGCAGAAGGCGGCAGGGGCGAATGCG